ACGATGCCACTACAGATTAAGTTGACATATCCAGAAGGGATATACAAGGAGTAGTTTTCAAATTTTCGTCACCGGTAGGATTCGAACCCTAGACCTTGCTACTTGGGGAGTGACAACTCTACCACTTCACTATGTCGCCACACCCTTTTGTATATTATATATCATAACTGATTACTTAATATTTTAAATTTTTGTGATGCTATTGATTTTTCAAGTGAATACAAGCCTAGCTAGCTGGCTGGCCTTAATTGGCTTGGATTAGTACTTTTTATATTGTTCTGTTAATGATAGGTTCTCCAGCCCAAGTTTGTTCTTGTCACATGATTTATTCATCATCTTACATTACTGCTTACATATATATATAATTTATTTATAAAATTAGTATACACATATATATTATTGATAAATAGTCTTTTTTAAAATACTACTTCATTTAATAAATTACCAGGTGTAAATATATACCTTATTTATAAACTTTTTGCCCTTTGCTTTTTTTTTACTTATATATTAAACTACTAGAGAGTAGCTATATACTGTAATCTATTCATAATTATTACACATGTTTTTATCTTAAGAAAAAAAAAATTTTATTAAATATCATTTCGCTCTTTCTATTAAACTACCAAGAGTAACTATATAATTTATACATGATTATTATAACATTTTTATCTTAAGAAAAAAAATTTTTTATTAAATATTGCTTGGCTCTTTCTTTACTTATATAATAAACTATAAGAAGTAAGTACATAGCTTATTATAAATAATGTCCATATTTATCTTTAAAAATAAAAATTTTATTAAATATTGCTTTGCTCTTTCTTCACTTATATATTAAACTACCAAGAGTAACTATATAATTTATTCATAATTATTATATATATTTTTATCTTAAAAAAATTTTTTTTATTAAAGATTGCTTTACTCTTTCTTTACTTACATGATAAACTACTAAGAAGTAAGTACATAGTTTATTATAAATAATAAATATATTTTATCTTTAAAAAAAATTCTCAATAAATATTGCTTTGCTTTTTTTTCATCTACATATTAAACTACTAAAGAGTAATTATATAATTTATTCATAATTATTATACACATTTTTATTTTAAGAAAAAAATTTTTTTATTAAATATTGCTTTGCTCTTTTTTTACTTATATGATAAACTACTAAGAAGTAAGTATATAGTTTATTTAAATAATATGTATATTTTATCTTAATAAAAAAATTCTTATTAAATATTGCTTTACTTTTCTTCACTTATATATTAAACTATTAGAGTATAGCTATATAATTAATTCATAATTTTACACATGTTTTATTATTAAATATCACTTCACTCTTTCTTTACCTACATATTAAACTACTAAGAGTAACTATATAATTTATTTATAATTATTACACACACTTTTATCTTAAGAAAAATTTTTTATTTAATATTGTTTTGCTCTTTCTTTATTTATATGATAAACTACAAAAAATATATATATAGTTTATTATAAATAATTGCATATTTTATCTTTAAAAAAAAAATTTATTAAATATTGCTTCACTTTTTCTTTACTTACATATTAAACTACCAAGAATAACTATATAATTTATTCATAATATATGTAATATAATATAACAAAACTTTTAAACTAAGTTAGAATTATTACTTAATAAATTAATTTTAACAATAATATAAGAAATGCAAGACAATAACAATAATAAATAATACAAAAATAAAAAAATAGAATTAAGCTAATAAAACAATAAACTCAATACATGTAAGAATCTAATTCTTATTTAAATTCTATAACTAAGCATTGTAGTTTGAAACACATTGTCTAATATGAATAGTTTGAGAAAACTTAACTAATGATTTTAAATATTTATTACAATGATTACTTTTTATTTAATATTTATTGTATAATAAGAGTAACTAACCAATAGGATTTATCTGTATATTTAAGCCTTTAGCTATTACTTAGAAGCCTTTTAATATTCAGTTTATTTAGACATTTAGTACTACTAAAGCACATCTAAGTTACAGGCTTAGTTTTAAAACTATACTAATAATTAAATTGATAGTTCAGAGAATAATATAATTCTATAATTATTGTGATTTAATAGTTTTTTTTTATATTTATATATACTAGACATCACTTTCAAATTTCCATCAAATTATATTTATTAAAAATGACATATATACAGTATATTATTTTACAATTTTGAAATTATATTATTAATTTTTTATTAATAAAAATTTAAAAGTAATATTTTATATATATAACTATATATAGCTTATCTACAGAATAATGGAATTGTAAAGCTGAATTAGTTTTGAATGATGTAATTAGTTAAAACAATAAATTAATATAAAGTTTATCTTATCTTTTCTTATAGAAAGTCTTTGTTTTCTGGATTTTCTATTATTTTTTATTTCTAAAAGTTATTACAAAATAAATGAAACTATTGAAACTATACTTTTAAAAAAGGGAGCATTAAAATTAATTTTGGTAGTTATTTAATGACCAAAGAATCAAATTATAAAAATATCTATTATTGGTATTGTAATAAGAGAAAGAATAAATGCAAAGGCTATGCAATTACTAAATTAATTAATAATACTCATATTCTTAAAGATTTTACCAAATATGAAAATCATGCACCAGAAGTGTATAAAGTTGAGATTGCAAAAATCACAGATCAAATTAAATATCAGGCCAAAGAAATACAGAATAAGCCTGTAAAAATTGTTTAAGATATTGTTATTAATACACCAGAGGAATTTTATCTCTATATCCTATTACTTGATACTTTGTATTGAACTATTATTCATGTTAAATAAAAATTATTATCTCAGCTACAAAATATCTTTGAATTAGATATACCAGATTCTCTTAGAGTTACTTTTAAATAGAAATATCCTTTTAATTAATAATCAGATAGTTGATGATAATTGTATAATTATATATACAACAACTGAAAATATTAAATATCTATCTCAAGCATTATATTGGATTATGGACAGAATATTTTAGACTGTTTTAGAGTGGTTTATCAATTATATACAATTTATACACCTGTTAGTGATAGTGATAATTCTAGAAAACTTCTATTAGTGTATATGCTTATGACAAACAAATTAGCAGAACAATATAAGTTACTATTTGAAAGTTTAATTAACTTTGTAGTGAAAAATAGAGTAAAATTAAGCCTAACCAAAATTATTACAAATTTTGAATTAGCTATAATAAATATGTTATGCTAAATATTTCTGGTGTTGTTAACAAAACATGTTTTTTTTATTTAAGCAAAAATGGCTAGAAAAGTATCTAATTTAATCATTATTAAATATTATCTTATTATTATTATTTTTTTTTTGGTATTAAGGTGACCTCTTTGGTCTGGGAAACTTTTTATTAGAGTATAGACGAAGTTTTATATG